CTTCGGCGCCACCCCCCATCTCTGCTGAGCTACTCTGGGCCCGGCCCCTGTTGTACTTGAGCAGTACTGAAGCGCAAATACGGTCGCTGTACACGTGCTCTTGTCGCTCATTAAAGCAACACCGCAGGATGGAAAACACTCGTTCCATGAACGCAGAGGATGGTTGCAAGAGAGCAACATCCAACACCAAGGCGTGCCACGTAGGGAGCTTCTTCTTGTTGTCGTTCCAGAAAGCCATGTGGCCGTACTCGGCTTCTGTGTCACTGGCCGCCATGTAGAAGTCTTCCTTCTCCTTCAACAGCCCCCTGACCATCTTCTTCTTGACGAACGGGAGCACCTTGAGGGTGCGAATGGTGTCATCGGAGTACTTCCTGCCTTTCATGAACGTGAAGTCCGTGAGCTTCGCGGCCTTGAACACCTCCAAGGTCTTGGCGTCCCTCGCTTGGGAATGGCGTCCGATCTTGTCGTGTGCGTACTGGCGAAGGGGGTCCAGCGCGTCCTGCATTTCGCTCGCGAGCAAGTCACAAGTTGCCCCCTTCACACGCAAGGCATGGGGGTGTGCCAAGGTTTTAACATATTTGAAAACACGCGCGGACGGCAAGCGACTAGCGGGCACTTCTCACGCAAGTAACACACGATGTGGATATATATGTAAGTGTGGTGCCCTCTTCAACTCGCAATGCACACAATCTAGCGTGAAGAAGAGAAACTACAGCACAATAATTATCTCTCAGCTCACCAGGTCGTCTCCTTGGCCGATGTATTTAGCGAGAAGAGCAGAGACGGTGGGCAAGGAAACGTCGTTTGAGAAAACACCGTCTTCAGCCAGCTCGAGCTTGCTGCGGAACCGCTCCACGATGTTGTAAGTCTTGTGCGCCTGCCATCGTCAAAAAGTGGGCACCGAGAGCGGCGGAGTGGAAAACTAAGCGAAATTCATACGAATGTACAAAAAATAGATGAAGCAGCGAAAGAAACTACAACCACAAGAAAAAAGAAGCGCGAAATGTCTGCTTCTCACAAAATAATGTACCAATGGTTCGTCGCCCTCCAGGACGATAGTTGCTGAAGTCACGGAACGGCCGACGTCCACCATCAAAGCCAGCTGCATCTGAAGATGTAAGCTCTGGGTCTTGTTGTCGTCGCGAACTCGCACAAGCTCGTCCCTCATGAACTTGGCCGCCTTGCTCTTGTCCGTGTCTCCGCTCTCGTAGGCGGCGATGAACTCCAACACTCCAGGCCAGTTCATGGCGATCACGTAGTCCCGATCGAATCTGGAGCCCCACCGGTGCCCAGGCGTCGATGGGGCGCGGACTCCGACTTTCTCTTTGAAGAGCGCCTTCGCTCCAGCGCTGTGCGAGAGCAGGGTGTGCATTTTGCCAAGGAACGCGTCCAAATCCAGGCTGCTCAGCTGCTTGCCGATGTTGTTGAACGTGTGGGACAAGCAGCCGATGACGATCGCGTATCTGAACAACTTCGCCAGTGCGTCCATCGCTAGGAGGTTTGCCGCGCAGCTGTCACCCATGATGGCTCGGCACTTGTCCGGGTCGAGGCCGTACTCATGGGTGACGATGCGGTTGACCTCACCAGCAATGTCGCTCGCCGTCATGCTCTTCTTCAGCATGCTCAACCGCAGAACGCGCTGTGCCACCTGTCGAGATGAGGTCAAAACATAGACGCGGCGGGAGAGGGGGCACAGGAACTGGGTCGTTTCGGGGGTTCTGCAAAGCTTACCTACTGTTTTCACGTCGAAATCGATACCGTCGGACTCTGGCATGACGAAGAACCTCCGAGGACGAACGGCAACATGAACATTTTATTTACCTGCCCACTTGAGCCGATGAACCGAACCCCAACCCCGAAGCACTCGCAGAGGTAAGGAGTGGCGTCGAAGCACAGCGCGTAGGGTCGGTCGCCAATCTCACCTCGCACCTTGGCTTGCTGTTCCCGAAAATGACCAAGACAGAGCAGGGACACAAGTGTTTGAGTATTATTAAGTTCATCACCCAGATTTTGAATATGCACTCGTCTACGCTACCGTCTTGCAAAACAAACACAGCAAGCACAGCGCTCCTTTGTTATTTATTGTTCACTGTATTTTCCTCACCTCCTCCTCGAGGATCAATGGTATGTGCTTAGCCAGATGCCCGGAGTGAGGCAAATTCACGTTGAAGTGCGCGAGGAACGCCCCGAACACAGGGTTGCCCAGCGCGTTTAGCGGAATAGCTGCCGCCAAACAACCTTTCACCGCCTTGATCTGTGTGAGCTTGTCCTTGTCGGACAGCGTGTCTCCGTAACTCCCTCCATCCTCCTCGGAGCGCTTAGCGAAAGCGCGGAGCGTCCCCTGTAGCGAGGAAACGAACACACACAGCAGGACCGAAAGCGTAAAAGCGTAGTCCAATCGTTGGTTGTGGCGTGTGGGATTGCGCAGTCTACAATCTCGAGGACAAGGTGACGCAGCGAAGCAGCAAAGGAAACAACTGCAAAAAGGTAGAGAGAATATAGATCATGCAAACGGCTGAGGTCTACAATATTGGTGTGTTGAACTGCTGTACCACTACAAGCAAGCTCACTTTATCCTCCTCATCTGTCGCCAGCATTATCGCCACCCTTTTCTGGTGCTTCTTCCCCTTGATGTGGTCCTTCACCCGGTAACTGTGCAGGCTGACTTCCTTGCCGAAGCACGCACGGCAGCCCATCTTCCCAGTGTTGATCATGTAGAAGGTTTGGTTCGGGAACTCTTTGATCCGGTCATGAACTGGTACCTGGGCATCTTTCTTGGGGGTTCTCGTGGCCATGGCTCCCCGACTGTCGATATTCCTGCCTGCCCCCTCCGCGACGTTGGCATGTGCCCGCCTCCGTTGGGCCAGGCTGACGACCGCACGGTCCCTCTCGATGCCCTCCTCTCGCTCCGGTGCAGCAGGGTTGTTCGCGATCGCCTCCACCCGCTTCGCACGTTTGTCGGCGGCCCGCTTCTCACTGTTCGTGCGCGCTCTTTTCTTCGATGCGTCTGCCGCCTCTTGGAACCAAGTCATCAGACCGTTTCGTACCTCAAGCGGTATCGATTCTGGACTTTCGGCGGAAGTGGGGCCACCAGCACTACGTTGGAGTGCAGAGGCACTACTACTGTTAGAAGAAGCTGAACCAGCTGCAGAGATCCGTGGTGGAACTCTGGCACGGGCACCGGCAGCAGGTGATGCGGCACCGCCGCTCCCACTACCGCTGCCGCCGCCGCTGCCGCTGTCGCCGCTGCCGCTGCCGCCGCTGCCGGCAGCAGCGGCACTTGTCTTTTGGCCGACAAATTGCACCTCCTTCTCCGAATTCCCTTCGCTTTCACTGCTATTATCCAACCTGGCTTCCATACCGCCAAGAGGCGACGGCATCGCACTGCCGTTCAGCTGTGTAGCCGTGTACAGCGCGTACGTGTCAGCTGTGTGTATGTAGTCTCACCGGGAGACGGGGCACCGTGAATATAATCGGCGACCATCGGCGACTTCACCTTTCGATACGGCGGAGCCCCCTTCAGAATCGGCGATTTTTTTTTTGTTTTCGGCGATTTTTTTTCTACCCTTTTTGCGGCGATTTTTTTCAGAAATCGGCGTTTTCGGCGATCGCCTATCGAGCAAAAGCCTAGAAGGATTCCAATGTTCCCACCAGTGTTCCGCCGCCGCACATCGGGCTCGTTATTCCACCGCATTTTTTCGCTGGGGGAGCGCTGCCAGTGGCGAGCAATCCATCGCAGCAGATGCTGTGCGTGCGGCAGGACGACTGGCGGAAATTGGTAAAAAGGGCAGGGCACACCAACCTGTAGGCAGACCGGCTCCTGTGTGGCAACACCCCGGAGATAATAAGAAAGGAGCAAGGTATGCAACATACAACCGTACTAGAGCTGTTTACGCGGCGGAACTTTGTACCAGTAGAGCCCAGGCGTGCGGCGCACATCAGTTGGCTGTCGTCGGAGACGGATAACGACAGTAAATGGAAGGAGCAAAGTCACTACCAGACATTGGGACGCGTGGTGCACTACGTTTGAACATCGAGCACATTGTTGTCCTATCTTGACCCTCGATCATTAGTCATCACCAAGTTCATCATGTTGTCTTCCTCTTGTGAACGACAGGATGATGCAAGTACTGCTGTAGCATCGTTAGTCTAGGCCTTCTCAGTGAACCAAGACAATTTCTAGGGTTGCTTGTACGTTTATGCAGGTCTACAACAAGATGAACGGGTTTTCGATCGGAAGACTAGACGTCGGCGACCCCCCGGTGACGCTCCGCATACACTACAAGCGGCGCTTGTTAGATGTCTCGCCCCAGCAGCCTACACCGAGACAACAAGCACGGGTGTTGCGGCAGCAGCAGCAGCAGCAGCAGCACCATCACCAGCAGCAGCACCAGCCGCAGCAGCAGCAGCAGCACACAAGCACGAGGGTTGGTGCAGATTGCGCTGGGAATCAGGGGACGGGCTCCGCGGTAGGAATAGCAGGCGGCCGACGAGACGAAAGTTCGAGCAAGGCAAGGAAAGGGTTGTAGACATTCACGACAGCATCATCGAAAACAACAGAGTGTGCCTCATACACTTTCTTCTGTAGTCTGACCCCATCGAGGACGCGCAAGCCTACAAGCGAACCCGAACGTGCTTGTATTTGCATTGCTTCCTATACTAGGCCTCCAGTAGTCTCCCACGCGCCGAAATCATTTTGTATCGATTTGTTGTGATGAACCCTCCGTTGTTTGTCTCTGTGCAGGTCTGGCACATAGTCGACAAACTTCGGCACTTCTAAATGGAGGGGACGGAAGCGCAGTCTAAAGCTACGATAAACCTATATATATCCATGTATTTAGTCTTAGGTTGACCATCGAGTACTGCTATTGGTATTTGAAACTTTGATGATCGGTGATCGGTCCAGGCGGAAGTCTTGTGCAACCTACGGTAGCTGATTTTAGTATTTATCGTGGAGCTCCCTGGCTGGGTTGTTTGTTTTTGTTTTTCTTCACATTAAACTCGTGTCAGTTGCTAATCCCAAAATCTAGCAAAGACTCGGTCCGTGGTCACAAAAATGCTAGAGCCATCAGAAGATCTAAAGAACACACACACACTATTAGCAAGGAAAGGGTACGCAAGCCCGAGGAGGTACACCTGTAACCCCTGCAACACGTTTGCGTGCTCACAACTGAACTACACGCCCACACACTACAATTCGACTACTGCAGCAGCATCACCCCCCTTGTCCCGCATTTAACCAAAATGACTGTCGACTACAGCGTACTGCTGTCTGAAGTGCTGTCTGTACAATAATAACATCATGGTGCATGGTACACAAGCTCGGGGAATGGAGCTGCTGTCTGAAGTGCTGTCAGAATGAGCCCGTGGACATGCAATGAAGAAGAACGCCCAACCAAAGCCATCATTGCAATTGACAATCACCCGAATCTATCCAGATCATGTGTGTTAGGCACAGCAGTGTAAACATCGACACTGACTAGGAATCGTTCCATATTGAAGGTGTCTTCCACGATGCAGGTACACAATTAAGGCACCCGGGTTATCCGCGCCATCCCTGCCGCGTCTCTCTACAAAACCAGTGACGTCATCACACACACCCAACACCTGTATTCAGGAAAAAAACGGAAAAATAATTGACAATACAAGAGATGTTTGTCCGTGCGCCACGGTTCGATGCCGTCCGCCTGCTCCGGTTGCGCTGCTCCGGTTGCGCTGCTCCGACGCCGCTGCTCCGGTGCCGCTGCTCCGGTGCCGCTGTGGCCAGTCCTAGCACGACCAAACTCGACCCGCTCCGCTTCGTGCACGCTCTCGTTGCTGTCCTTCCCAGTCGGTTCCTCGCTTTCTCCCTCGTTGCACTTAGGGTTCTCGGTCTGAAGATTCTCGCGCCGAAGGGTCAACCAGCCCAATCAGCTCGTCACCACCTGTCCCCTCCTCCTTTGATGGCAAAACCAGGTTACTGAGACAGTACAGCTCCATCTAGCAAACCTAGGGCCGTGTACATAGTGCCCGTCCACCTTTTTGATGACGTCTGCCTCCGCGCACAAAGATGAGATGGGCATTGCTGCCTACACCGACGGCCTGGAGGCCCGCGCATCTGCACCTTTGTACCTGACGCACCAGTGCCGACCCAACTCCACCACTACGCACGCCTCGCGGCGGGTGCGCCGCAGCAAGACGGTATCGGTCCCTTGAGGGAGAGTCTAGCCCTGCTCGCTATAAAGACTCCCCCCCCTCGCTATGGGTCATGCCTACGCAAAACCTTGCCGAGGCAGCGAGGGGAAGAAAAGCAGTAGTAGGATGGTGCTAACAAGGCATGGCACGTGCCAACTCCCTCTGTAGCAGAGCAGGCCTATCGTCATGATGGCCGTACTAGGTATGGGGGGGGTATTGAGCCGTGTGGTGCGACTCAATACCTTGCAGTAGTCTTATCTGCGATGCTGATGGTGCATGAATCCCGACACACACCAGCGTGAATCGTTTGTGGTGCAGCTACACGTGTGCCACAGAGGGACAGCAGGCGTGAGACGGGAGCAACGATGGTTGTATGTGCGGTCACCGTTCAAAATTGTGCACTTAACATGCGGTTGTTTCTTTCCGTTTTGATGCACATGCACGAAAAAACAAAATATGAAGTCGTCCCTCTGTTGTTTCTTTCCGTTTTGATGCATATGCACGAAAAAACAAAATATGAAGTCTTCCCGCTGTGCGAACGCAAACACGCACATCTGGGCATCTGGAAGAGAGGCGCACATGCGGCATACACCTGGCGGCGAGCGAATCACACGTCACGTCGTCGAGGAGCACGACCAGCAGCGTAGACATAGGGTTGTGTGGCACTACAGACAGCAAATATTGCGTCAGGCTCACAACTTGCCCACCACATTCGTCCCAAGCCTTCCGAGTTTTCCGCCCAAGTGAAAGCAAGCAGTCCAGCATGAACCAACAACAACAAAAAGCCGTTGATGGTTGATGGTCGTGTGACGTCATGACTTTGATGCGAGAGGCAGAGAGGCCCTGTAGCCCTGCAGCAGCAACAACAGCATGCAGGGCACGGCTTTTGCGAAGGCAGTCAGTAGCGCGGCGCAAGTACGCAATCTGAACCGATCCCGCGGGGAACCATCCTGATAATACACAGCGGCAGCAGTAGGCGCTCACGCCCTCGGCGGATTCTCTCGATGATGGTAGGTGTGATCTGGACTTGGGAAGGTGTGTGGTTTGTGTGATCATCGGTCTGCTCTTTTTGAAGCAGTCGGTTGGACCCACTCAACATCAATAAATACCCGCCAGGTTACACATGACGCATGCCTCCAGTATACCCACGGTGCACAGGTCGTATAGGCCCGGCTCCTCCCGGTTTTCATAGCTGGTCTCAGACCAGCGTCTCAGCGGTGATGCGTTTGTTGGTGGTGTTGTCGCGTCTCTGTCGGTGTTTCTTGTCCTGGTTTGAATCGCGCGCGCGCTCGATCTCCGCTTTTGTGCACGCCTCTTCGCGTAGACACCCCGGGGTTGGGGAGCAAAATCTCCTACGAATTTGGGCTACATATATATGCCGGTGAAGCACGGCCATCTGCTGTCGGAGCACGACGAAACCGGTGTGGATAAGAGCGCGCTATTTTTCTTCTTCGTCAGAAGCGAACAGATCGTCAATCGGTGCCCTAAGATCTCGTTCTGATCCCAAATGTGTGCTAAATAATAGGCTTCCCGGAAATCAAGTATTTGGGCCCCTGTACCGCGCGACGCGCGGCGCACGCAACTTTGGCCGATGTATAGAGCCTTTTTTTTCCTCCCGGGAACGAAGGAAGAAAAGGTCGCGCTTCGCGCTCCGCGGCTCATTACAAGTACGAGCCATCGCACCCCCCCTAGACCGATGTTCATGGCTGTGTTGTTCCACAACCATGAGGCGGCCAATGCCGAAAATTGAGGTGTTGGAATTGTTTTGTCGACAGATTCCTTCGCTGGGCGGGGATAATACCATCTGCGCCCCATTAACGGTTGTTTTATGCAACAAGATGACGAGTGGCAGCCCTGAACATGGCTGTGGATGTTGCTTCTCACCACGTCGTTCTCGCTCCTCCCTCTCGACCAAACCATGTGCTCCACAGGATACGCCTCGAGGGTCTCGCGAGTCAGCGGGCGGACCATCTGCGACCACAACCCACGACGACAGCAATTTCGATGGAACCGGTCTACATGTTTGGCCGGGCAGCCGTTTGCTCGCTCGTTTTCTCGCAGAACCGTCGGGTGCACGGCGGCTGTTCCCTCAGTTTGTTACCCGCCAGCCCGGCTGCGCACCCCCGCTGCACGGCGGTGGCAGCAGCTGCGATGGCCAAACAGGCGACATGCGCGCCACCTCCTCCTCCAACCGCAAAATGACGCCCTCAGCAGAAGCTGCTGCGGACGGAAGAAGGGAGAGCAGCCCTAGGCCCCGACATAGAACCGCTCCACATCAAGATTCTCGCTGCGTCGCGGTGGACCAAAGCTCGGCACCGCCGACGGTCCTAGAACTCGGAGCCGGCACGGGGGTCTGCGGCATGGCGGCGTCCTTATCGTTAGGCTGCTCCGTGGTCCTGACGGACCGAAGGAGCGACATCCTGGAGAATCTCCGGAAAAACATCAACCTGAACGGGCTGGCAACGAGGGCGCGGGTGGTGCGACTTGAATGGGGGCGAAAGAGTAGAAGCTGTCCCGCAGAGATACGGGAACTTTCGCCTTTCAAGGTACGGAAGCTGTGTTCCACCAATGAAATGGGTTTCTCAAGCAATCAGTAAAAGCCGAGTTTCAATAATACATTCATTATGCTCGAGTTGTTCTCGATATTGATGGTCCAAATCTTTGCTTACTATCTGGGTCTGCATTTTTTCACACTTGTGGAGGCCTGGCGTATTCGGTGAATGGGTTGCATTCGCGCGAGTACATGTAGAAGACAGGCAATCTCGTGCGCTCGATACCCGAAAGCCCAATGCAATGGTTCGCTTGTCTCCTTGTCGAAAAGCATTTCCGGGAAAAATGATGTTGAGGTGTTGCCCAGAACGATGTTGGAGCAAGGTTATTACTTCCGAAAAAATCTGCCTTTAGGTGCATGTTTCCACGCGAAGCACTGCACCTCCTTGCCGGTAACCCTTGTACTTGTTGATGGCTGAGGTGCGCGCGGTCTTGCACAGGTGATCCTGGCGTCGGACACAGTGTATCCAGGGAAACCGTTCTCGGACACCGAGGCGTTCTTCGCTATGGCAGCGGAGCTTTTGGTGAGCGACTAACGGGGTCGGTGTAAGATACCCGTATGGCCTCCTTCACAATGATGTTGTACACGCTTGACGTACTCGTTGCTGGATTCTGTATGCCGTTGTGCGGTGTTGCTCAACAGCCAGATAGTCGAATTAACTCTCGCCCCCGGCTTCGGTGTTGTTGCGGTTAGCATGCAATTTTGGCGCAGACAGCGCATGGTACGCAAGAGGGCCAAGTATCGAAGCACCGATTAGAACAGTCAGTTCAAGCGAACACTGCTTGCTCGGGTGTGGGCCCGACTACACAGAGACACAGTACCGAAAGAGGCGGAGAGATGGCACTCCCTAGACCGACTCTCAAAGCTCGATTCCTCCATCACCAAGTGGGGGCGGAAAGAGTACGATACGTCCACGGAAAGCCCTCTACGGGATGTTTCCAACACCACCATTTTTGGTGATGGCACAAGCTTGGCTGTGGAGCAATCGATCTCTGAACATTCGGTCTAGTGGGGGAGCCGTCTCTACGCCTCTGACGGAATCTTACTCAACTCTTGGTGCACACCTTCAGGACCCGGAAGTGGGCGTACTCCTGCTGACCTACACGCCCAGGCAGCCGTCTACATGCACGGAGAACATGCTACGTTGCGCGTATCGTGCCGGGCTGCGAGGAACCGCGCTGTGGAACGAGCACGGGGATCGCTGGCGCGAGGGAAACGATCCTCGCAGTCTACCAGCACCACGTGGTGTCGGCAGTCACAACCATCCGTTGACAGACCCGCGGCATGGGAGCGCTGCCCTCAAGGGGGTCGATTTTTGTCCGCGGGAACAAGGTTCATGCCCGTCAAGCACCTGCACGACGAACGGCACCAACGCGGTCCTGGACCCAAGGCACGCCGTAAAGTGTCCGTTGGAAGTTGACAATGGGAAGGGTAATAATCTGGCCCACCCTACGCAGAGTGGGAGCCCTAGGCCCTGCGAAGATTGCTCTCATCCGGGAACTACGCCGAACAAGCCGCCCCTCCGAGATACCCGGCCTGTACCCGACGGTTGCACGCCAATTCTGTTAGCTTTCGAGTTGTGCCCTAAACCCACGGACCGGGATGGAAGCCTGGCCAACAACCCAGAGCTGGCTTGGTTATCGGAGTGGAAATTCGTTTTTCCGGACCTCCAAAAACGATTAGAATGTCGTCCCGCTTGGCGTGCTCCCGGGGCAGCGTGGAGCCAGGACGGTGCGGGGGCACTGAAAAATAATGGCGGCCGTTGGGACGATGCAAGTGCCGAAGGGGGCGAAGTCACCGCCGAGTATTTGTGGGGCTCCTCCACGACTGTGTAGCGCAACCCCTCAAAGTCCTCTCGGGTTATCATCCAATGGCTGATGTGGGTGAAATGTTCTCAAACTTGGCACCCCAAATTTGCAGCTTTCAACGCCAAGATATTGGCGTCATGTCGCCTGTGTGATTTTGAGGAGTTGAGGCCCGAAACGGGTTGACCGCCGGATAGTTGGCAGGAAAATGGGTTCGATGTGGCACACTGCAGGGTAATCCGTTGAATGGCCATGCTAAACAACAACGAACTTCGAATGTTGCGTGCCATACCGCTGGGGTTAAGATTAGGGAGCGAGATGCATCAACGCGTGGAAACGAAATCAGAACCTGTCCGTTCGGTGTCGTGCCGATCTCCTGAACACGGCCAAGATAGCACCAGCCACCATTTTAGAACTCGGCAGTCAAGAACGCGAGGGTTAAACTCTGGGAAAATTATTCTTGGGCCTCACTCCCACATGTTCGTAGATGTCCTTTACTTGGAAGGGGAAGACGTTTTATCTCTTGTATTAGGCACGCAAGGGGAGTAGGGAGAATGGAAGCCCGCTTTGGAGTTCGAGGGGTCCCCGCACATGCAACCATTTCAAGGTGTACATATACCCCATCTGCGTGCCCTCTGTTATTTTCGGTAGATCTAACCAGTCCGTATCCAAACACACGAACACCCTCTCCGGTTTGCACGCGAATGGCAAACCTAGCGTGGGGCATGGATACAATACCCCTGATCTACCAAAGGGACTCAAAACAACAGGCTCGAGGCAAAACCCGGCCAACCGGATCAAAAACCCTCGTCTAACACCCTAAATAAAGAAAACCGTCGCTATCACGGAGGATTCCAACGGCCGCACTTCCAAGACAAAACCAAGGCAGGACAGATTGAACCGGTCACGCTGATTACACTCCCGAAGCAACGCTCTCAGCGTTTCTAGGCTCCAGCCGCGGGTGACGCGCCGTCACAACGCTTCCTGCGTGACGTACCATGGTCATATATGCCAAGTGCGAACACCACCACATAAACCAAACAGAACAAGAGAACACTACATCGGTAGGTTCATCAGAGCCTTCCGGTGGTACTCTAACTTCTCTCTGCCAAGGACCTTAGTCAGCATGTCGGCGTGCTGCTCTCCAGTCGGAACATACTCTGCAGGGATCTTGCCCGACTTGAATAGCTCGCGGATGAAATGGAACCGCACGTCGATGTGCTTGCTCCTCGCTGAGCTGAACGGGTTCTCGATTAAGGCGAGAGCCCCCTTGTTGTCCTCAAGGACCTTGATCTTCGCCCCACTCGTCTCGGGCGCTATGAACGACAGAACGCCACGCACAAATAACGCCTCCTTCACGCCCTCCCCGGCTGCCATATACTCTGCTTCCAAGGTCGACTGAGCCGTCACTGGCTGCGTCTTGGTGGATGCACACACTACGGTACCACCTACTGACACAGCTAGCCCGGTTGTAGAACGCCTGTCTACTTCGTTGTCAGCGTAGCTGGCATCGACAAACACGCTTAGGTCTAGTCCTGACCCCCGTAGGTAGGTGATGCCGAAGTCCTTCGTGAACTTCAGGTAGGACATGTTCCGCACAAGCGCGTTCCATATCCTCCCGGTGGGTGTGTGAGCGATCTTCTGGAGCTTGTTCAGAGGCAGGGCGATGTCTGGCCTCGTCAGCTTCGTCCACATCAGGCATCCGATCGCCTCCCTCACAGGCTTATCCACCGCGGGCTCGTCATCTCTCTTCGACCTTAGCTGTGGGTCTGGAGTGGTTGCGAAGACCCGCTGGCGTCGACCTCGGCCCCGAACGCCTGCTGTTCCGGGCCCAACACCTCCTGCATCTCGCGCCTGTACATCTCCTCCATACGGCGTGTCTGCTCCTCGTCCCACTGCTCCTTCACGAGCGAGTTGCAGATGTAGTCCTCAACAATCCTCGTCCCGCCAGTTTTCAGGATGGTCGCCAGCAGTGCCTCTTCCGGGTCCGGTGTTTCTCCGGGCCCCGGCATCTCCCCGGCACCTTGCATCTCCCGGGTCTGCTTCCGCGTGCGGCCAATCTCAAGCCCATGGCGCAGCGGGCCAGCGTTCGACGCGCCCCGGAGGAGTTTCTTTCCTTCTAGCCCGCGGGGGTAGCGGTCGTCGGCTGGATCATACCTCAACTCCTCGAGGTTCTCGGAGTCCCCGGGATCACCATCGCTACCGCCGTCCCCACCTGGGTCGCCGGACTCTTCGCCGCCCGGNCCCCCCAACCTTGGCGTGATGCATCCGCTCTGCTCTCGCCCTCCCCGCCCTCCTCGTCATCTGCGAGAGGTAGCAGCTGCGGGGGAGCGGGCGATGCAGCGGGCACGTGGCGCCAGGTGAAATTGCGGGTGGTGATTACGGTTCCAGCTTCGGTTAGCATGTGAGCGCAGTCACGGGGGTGATTGTGGGCAGGACCAAGGCACCATCCTTTTTCGCCCTTGGGTTGCGACTTTGCTTTTCTTCTCGACTTGAACACGACTGTTTTGAAAAACAGGAATGTAGACCCGACAGACGGTGGGGAGTAGTGGCACATCTCGTAGGCGGATCTGTCTCCCTCGTTTGATTTAGTGGCGGTGCAGTTCAGCTGATGGCATGCACACGAAATGGCCTCGGCCCACAACCCGGGGTGGTTCGGTGCAGACCCTGGAGATGCAAGGTGCGTCGGGGAACAGTTGCGTCGCTTGTATGCGTGACGCAAGCGCGGCATCAGTGATCAACCCTACCGCTCTCTCCGCTACACCGTTGTATTTTGGGGTGTGAGGGGGGGTGAACTCTTGTTTGATGCCGTGTCTGCGGCAAACTTCCGCAAACTGCCCCTGGAACTCGCCGCCACCGTCGGTACGTGCGATATAAACCTCACACGGAACCCCTTTCGTTCGGTAGTCCGCCAGGAACTTCTCAAACCCAACCGCTGCGTCAGACTTGTGTTTCAAGAAGAAAACACGCGTCCAACGGGAGAAATCGTCTCTGATGATCAGTGTGTACCAGTTGCCACCAACGCTCCTGGTTTTCATCTTTCTCCCCAAGTCGAGATACACGCGAGGTAACTTCTCAACTGCGTGTGTGTCAGTGCTCTTCTGGACGGGTTTCACCTGTCCCTTGAACATCGAACAGCCAAGACAGGGTAGCAGCGGTCCATCCGTCAGCTGCACTCCCTGCTGCTCCGCCGTGATCCTGAGCAATGTCTCGTAGGCATGGCCATGCGCGAGGTGGTACTCGTTGAGGTCAGTGGGGTTGGCTGCTTTCGCATCGCCAGAAACAAGAAGTGCGGCACAGGCGGTGTGTAGCGTTGGCTATATTTGATCGCCTCGTTGGGTCAGCAGCTTTCCAGTCCGGGGGAACCACACCTCCCCCCCGGCTTTCGTGGTCAGCGTGAGGCCCCCCTTCATCCCCGAATACGTGTGGCCCTCCTCCGCCAACGAAGACAGCGAGAGGAGGTTGTAGGGGGCCTCTGGTACATGGGCAGCATTCAGTACTGGTACGGGTACTCCACCATCTTCCGTCTGTAGGACTAAGGTCACATTTCCGTATCCTAGAAGAGGAACGGGGGCCTTGTCGCCTCCGATCCCCTTCACCCAGCCGCTACGCTCACGGTAGTTCACAAAGTTGTCTGCACATCGGAACATGGAGCACGTGGCCGCTGTGTCGGCCACGTACACCACCTGGCCTTGTTGCACAACCCCCACTAGACCTACTTCACCAACGGTACCACACTCGCCTGGGGGGACTGCCGCGGCACAAAACGCCTGGTCTTCCACGGAGTCCACGTCGCTCTCATGCTCCACCACTTGCGCTAGGACGGCCTCCTCCGTCGCGCACTTTTCTTTGGTGTGGCCCCACCCCTCGCAGCGCGCACACCACGGCACGAAGTCCTTCTCGTTGGTAGTGCAGCCGATCGCTTGATGTCCACGATGTCCACACCTAAAGCACCGGCCCAGGAACTTGTAGTCCCCGCCACCGCCGCCATCGGCGCCTTCACTGCTGCTTCCCTTGCTCTCCTCGACTCCTCCGGATCCGCCTGAGCGGCCGCCGCGACC